ATTTTTTTTCATAATAATCATTCATATTCCTTCAAAAACACAAATAAATTAAAGAAACTAAAGAAAATACAAAAACATGAAATTAAGCTATAACAAAACAGTAAACAAAACAGTCTTATCATTTCTTAAATTGGTTTAGTTGTTTTTTAAAACGACTAGCTTGTTTCTAGTTCATATTTCTAGCAATAGTTTCAAACACCAATAAGTAATAGAAATATGATATTCAAGTCAATCCCAATAGTCAAGTTGTATTTCATCATAATACTCATAACATAGTCAAATATCAATATCACCCAACATTTAAATTACCAAAACAAGATATTTAACCAAACTGGCCTTAAAAATTACATATCTATTGTAAAAGAAGAATAATTTTTGTCTGGAATGCTTGTTTCTGATCTCCACTATTATGACTTTATAAAGTACCTAGACAGACAATGTATCAAAATTACAACCCACTTCAATGGTTGATAAGGGAGCAAACATTCAACGACTATGACTATGTAAAATAATGTTTTCTCTAGAAATCGTCCATTAGCTATATTTCTCAAATAAAGCTTGATATTAAAAATCTCTTCGATTAGAATGTAACAGACATTACAATGAATAACATACCCAAAACAAAACCCAATCTAATAGTGGAAAAAGAAGTTATGGATGCCAAAATGTCTATTTTCAATGTGTTTTCTCTCAAAGAAAAACTCATTCGCACTTAAAGCTCTCAATCAACTCTCTAACCCTTTTATTTTGTTAAGATTTTACAAAACAAATGAAGGCAAAAAGCTTTCTCTCTTTACAAACTCATAATCTTACTTAATATTATTTTAGCAAGGACATACAAAAAGGATTCGATAAAGAGGGATAATAAAGGAAATAAGTTGATTTTCTTATCTCTTTGTATTTATTCCTCCCTTTTTTAATAACCTCAGGCTTTGTATGACTAGTTATTATTTTACCGTCTTTCAACCTTTTTCTCCTATATTTATTATTTTTAACTAATAATTATTTTTTTAACTCGAATTTATCTATTTTTTTACTATAGGTTTACATATGATCTAAATGAGATAAATTGTACAACTATATCTATTTTAGTTTGTCCATCTAAAAATGCCATTTGCACTATGATAAAGATCATTACTAGGGTAAGAAAAACTCGTTTAAGTGATTTGTAACCACGTAGATAGATGATGTAGGATCAACACACATATAAAGTCCCAATCTAACACTTTGTTATTGAAGATTAAATCATTCCTAGCAAGTTAGACACCCCAAACATATTTCTTCTTGCTTCTTTTTTTTTTATTAACAACACCCTAAACGTTGTTTCTAAATCATTATAACCACACCCACAAAAACATATTCACTAAAATAATATTTTGTGATTTTTTAGCTTTATTTTTAAATTTACCCTTCAACAACTAATTTTTTTTTAGTTTTTAGTTTTTTTCTTAATTTTTTCTTTAATATTAGATTATTTTGGAAACTATGTTTAATAATTTTTTTAATTTTCTTTCTGTCAGGTTATGTATGGGTTTCATAGATTTAGGTTTTATTTTATTATATTTCAACATTTAATAGTATACGGAAACTATGTTTTGTATTTTTTTATTTCTTTCTATTAATTTATCTTAATCTCATAACCTAGGTCTTTGATTTAACAGTTTAATCCAAGTTGACTCGAGTTATTTTTTGTCATCTTTTCTAATTGATTCTTTTTATTTCATCTTTAAACACTAGGTTGGTAAGAAATTAGTATTTATATTTTTTTTTATTTTATTTCTATGAGGTTATCTTAATCTTATTATTCAAGTTACAAGTTTGGCAAGTTGATCTCGATTGATTTAATTTTGGATTTTTCTAATTGATTTTTTTCAATTTCACCCTCCAATAACTCAATATTCTTCTCTTTTCTTTTTCTTTTTTTTTCAATTCCATCCTTTATTATTAGATTACTAAGAAATTAGCTTTTATAATTTTTTTCAATTTACTTTCTATGAAGTTTTCTCTATCTCATAGATGTAGTTAGTTTTTTCTTCTTTTAATTTTAACCTTCAACATTAGGTTTACTGTAAATGGAGAATCATAATTTTTTTATTTGTTTTTTTACGATGTTATCATAATCCTATGATTCAGGTTGTAGGTTTAACAAAGTTTGTCTGGACTGACTTATGTTATTTTTTTTATCTTTTTAATTGATTTTTTTAATATTATCCTTCGATATTAGATTGGTTTGAAATTGATCTTTATAAATTTTTTATTTACTTTCTACAGGATCATAGATCTTTCAAATGAGAATAATAAGAGTTAATTTATTAAGATAGCTGCCATCGGAATGCATAATGCAATAATTTTGTTTTAGCATAATAAATTCTTAAGATATGTGTCCTTTCTAGGAAAACACATTATAATTAAGAGCTTGAATTGTTTCAAATATCTATTTAAATATTTCTCAAGTAAAAAAAGAAGATAGAGAAGGGTCATTATCTGTTTCATGTGATGCTTATTTTAAGTATATTCTTAATTGTAATTAACAGCTATACTCTTATTGTATATCAAACTGTATACATAGACGAGAATATGATATTCAAATGTATATCAAGCTGCATTTTTTGCTGTCAGATATAACTAGTTACAGATGCAGGTACTGCTTGCAAAGCATTAGGATAAAATGGTAGCTCTACTTAATTACAAGCAATTCGACCTTTGAGTCAAAAAGGTTGTGGACTTAAACATAGGCTGCTGTCTGTTGGTAGGAAGGCATGAGAAAGTGGAATTCATGGAGATTTTATAGGACTGCTGTATAACTTGGTTAAACATCTATTCTCATTTTTCATACTGAATGCTAGAAGGCAAAACGTACTTGCTATAATGCATTAATTAGATGTCCCAAAAATTAATGTTGTTAGATGTGATGAAAACTGTCACAAACATCATGGAAAGCATGATGACAGGAAATAGTAACATTCTCTCTTTTTATTACATCAATTTGTTTAAGTGACAATGATATCTGTCAGGTTAGAAAACCAATCCCATATAAAAGAAATAACTAGGATATGTACAAATAATATAGAAAGTTAAGAATATGTCATTCCTACAAAAAAGTTAAAATTCACCTGTTAAAGATATTAAGACAGATTGCCAAATACTAGAAAACTAGTTTTTTAAATAATCATAGTTTTTTAAATGAAATCTAGGCTTAACTATTACATTTATTATTTATTATTTAAGAATATTAGCTAGAAAAATTTACATGGCCTGAATACAGGGAATAAAGGAACACCCACACTATATACATACACCCTGTACGATTTCTTTCTCTCTCTTTTTTTTTTTTGGAAAAACAAAGTATACTGCAAATTAATTCATCTGCGATAATGAGAAGCAACAATACGAATACCCATCTGTAACACACACACACACACACACACACACAATATAGGAGTGTGATATGACACATCTCATTCAGGAGGAAGGTAGGTACAAGTGCAAGCAAATAACTTGAGGTAGATCTCCATATATGATTCTATGGGAAGAGTAACAAGTAATAATAAAATGTGTCTATCTCTTCAAACTTATTTTTATTTCCCATAAACTGATGAGCACATTAATTTTCCCATAATCAGATTGGTTTTAGTATATCATTTTGTATTGAAACAGGAGATATAGCATTGCTCTTTTGGTCACACGAATGAACAAGATTGTAACAGCAAGTCCATGCATGGATGCAATAACTTTCAGGGTTTCCCCACCACAGACGCTTTAAGGTAAATAAAGTATGAGGGGCGGGGGGGGGTTGATGGGGAACAATTTAAAAGTCTCTTAGTTTGTATATCGAGATTTTTTTCAGTTCACCAAAGTGTGATTAATTCTCCTTTTTTATAGTTGTAATTTTTCTACTTATGTGGATACAATAAAAGGAAAATTGGTAATAATGATGAATATTTGTTTTATAGATAAAAAACAAAGCATATAATTTTCTAGCAATTTCTTAATCTGTAAATCATAGATTGGTATGCATATACAAGAGGGTTTTGTTTATCTTATACATGTTAACAAGCTTCTGATTTTTAAAATCATTTGATTTGTATAATTTTCTCAGTCAGACAAGAAGAGGAAATTATAAAATTGATGTTTCTAGAGGAGGTATGTATATAGAAATGTGAAATCAACAAATATTGTATAGAAGTGGTCAAGTTTACTTGAAAGTGAGCACAAGCTAGACCTTCGTCTACATACAATTAAATTACAAGTAAGGATTTCAAAGCATTAACTTAAATCCTGTGTGTTTTACTATTAATAATTTTCGTACATAAAGAGTCCTAGCACAGTTGAATTGACCTAATTATTTCCACCGAACTCTAAATTCTTTTTGTTTTTTTATTTGTAAGAAGTATATGGCTTTAGCTCCAACTTTATTTAGTTTTAGCAGTTCTCAAGGCATGCAGCATGTAAATCTTTAGAGGTAGAATGTTCTGAATGGTGTCTGCCATAATCAGTTCCAAAGAAATCCAAGAAAAAATGGAAAAGAATAAATCATCCTCTAAAGCTCAGTGGTTGTTAGTTCCATATACAGCTTGAAGTGTTCTTCTTCTTTTTTTTTTCTTTTTTTTAATGCTTTTAACCAACAGTTCAGGAATGAAACATCCTCCATGACAAAAGTGAATCCCTATTGTCCATAGTCATTCTTCCAGTGTGTGGTTGCTATGGAATCAACTTCTTATGTTGAAAATAAAAGGGAGCTTCTGGTGTTGGGAATATGTTTCTTTGTAGAACAGAAGGAGGTAAATTTTGAGGAAACTTTTAGTAGTAGCACACAAATAAAATGAAATAAAACAAAACATATGGAAAGCCATATTTTAGCTAAGTTTGTACTTGGATTTAGATGCAATATTGATGTTTTAAAGCACTTACTGGATTTGTATGCCAACATTAAGTTGAGTTGTTATCTGCTAAACCAAAATGTAATTAGCAAAATATCATAGAATTGAGGGAGACAAATATACAGAGATAAGAGATTAATTTATTTTTATTTGAAAGGTACTCTATTTCTAGGATACCAAAAGATACAGCAAGAGAACTGAAGCTTACATCTTTAAATAGTATTGTTCATAACACCATCTTATACAATACTGTTGACATCAATTGTTCCCAGTCCCCCAAAGTTTTCCATTCAGTTGCATTTCTGCAAAAATCGAGGTTGAGAGTGAATCAATTGTGACTGAAATGTGAGAAGTTTTGTGTTCTCATAACAAACCTGTAGACGGATTCATGGTGGTAAAAGTACGGAAGCTGGAGTGCGCAATTGCACTGCTAATGTCCCAATTTTGGGCTAAATTGGGTAAGTAGTTGCTGTTGTCGTTGTTGTTGCAACTTGCATCTTTTAACATTAGAAGGTTTTGCTGATAACCCGTTGTTGCAGATGGCCTCAACTTCCTCCTCATCACTGTCGATTCTTCGAAGATGTTTCCTTTAGTAGAATGATTGGCAAGTGAGTGGTGAGAGCTTGGATCTTCAACTTGACCACGAGCAACAACCTTCATGGAGGATGTGCCATTGTAAGAGGATGATTTCTCCCATGATTGATGTTGGTTCAAGGGACTTGGCTGCTTCAAGCAACTAAAGTCAGGACATTTTTTTGTCTCAAGGAGCCTTCTAGTGCACATTTTCACTCTAGTCCTTTCCCTAGCTCTTTCTCTAGCTTTTGCCCTCGACTCTTTGGCAAGAAGATCGACTGCTATGTTTTGCATCTTCTTCATCCTTTGCTTTTGACTCTCTGAAGGTACTCTGTCCTCTAGGTCCCAACTTTTGGATACAACTTCACAATTAGTAGAAGTAGAAGACAAGCATTTCTCACCTCCATTCTTGGCTAGTTCCTCAATGGCATTTTTTGATTTGGTGAGCAGCCACTCTAGGGTTTTACTTGCTTTATCAAACCCTAGCATCTCTTGGAGATCAAAGAACTTACGCGCGATTTCAATGGATAATCTCACTCTCCTATCTCTCAAGCCTTGAGCTGTGTAGATTTTGCTGTGCCTATCTTTCTTTACAGGTTTTTTTCCAGAAAGAAAATGAGAACGATTATAAAGTTCTCCATCGAGAGCAGTAACATCTTGCTCAGACATCATGCTGTTGTTTGAAGCTGCCATGTTCATCACGGTCTCAGTGACTGGTAATGGGTTGGTTGATACTGAAGGAATTGTAAGCGGATCAATGTGGTGGTGGTGTTGATGGAAAATGTCAGTTGTTTCATGGTCAGTAATGTAAGGAGGAGGGTTGAAAGCAGAAGAGGAAAGGCTCTGAAAAAGATGGATAGTACTGCTCGTGGAAGAGAACATCTGTGGCTTCAATGGCACCTAGAAAGCCCTAGCTTCTTAGAAAGGAAAGCAATTTGACATCAAAAAGAGGAAACTACTTGTGGTTGCCAGCCAAAAGAGCTCCACCCAATTTTAGTCTTTTCAGATTTACTTTTTCGCAAACAAGGAATGAACAAAGCTTCTTGAAAGACCTTCATGTACTGATGAGATCTGAAGCGAAAGAGAGAGGGGTAATTTAAACAGAAAGGGTTGGATTGAATAAATGAACATAATGGTAAATGCAAAATGTCAGGGATAATAGTGTTTGCTCCTCTTTTTTTTCTTTTTTTTTTTTAACTTCAAATCTGGGGCAAAAGAAGGGTGAAACACTCGTCGTGACAATCCTCCTGAAGTAGGTAATTTTTGTTTTTGTTTTTATTAATTTTTTTATTTTAAATTAATATTTTCAATATTTTAGATTATTTTAATATATTCATATTAAAAATTAAAAAAATATTATTTTCAAATAAAAAATTCTTAAGAAAAAGACATTTCTAGATACCTTTTTAAACCGGCTGTGAAGCACAGAGTTTGGTGCCCCTCAACGTGGTAGCAGCAAAGAATGGTAGGGCCGGTGGCAATCTGTCCAACTTTTAGCCTTCTAATAGAGAAACAAGTAAGTAGGTTTTAGACTGTAGATGTGTAGCTAGGTTTCCCATTAATTGTAGAGAGAGCAGCAACCTGAAAACGAGTCTAGGGCTAATGGTCTTCTGGTGCAATTATGGTTGTATTTAGCAACATATCATGGAATAATCTAGGTGAAATGAGCATCTAGGCTCCTCCCATGAGTTTGTTTGTTTCGTAGGACGTGTTACATGTAAATACTTAGTATAACAAGAGAGGAGGATGAACTACGAAATACAAGACAAAAAACTCAGAAGGAGTAAAGACGAGGTACTCGTAGAGCTGAAGTGAGCAAGCTAGCATCTCTTTTACTGAGCCACTCAATGTCAGGCTGCTCTTCTTTTCTCTTTCCCCGTGGAGTTTCTTTTTATATATATATATATATATATATATATAAACTGCAGATATGATATATATTAAATGATATATTAAAAAAATTAAGATTGTTATATATTGAATCAATTAAGATTAAGGTTAACATGTGAAATCTAAAACTTAAATTATGAGAGTATGATAATTTTATTAAAAAAATTAAAATAAATTATAAAATTTAATTCTTAATCAATTTAATTTTAAAAGAAAAAAAGATTATATTAAAAAAAACTTACCTAGGTTAACTCGCTGACAAACTCATAATTTAGGTTATGAGATCAGGATAAATCAATAAAAAATAAATTGAAAAAAGTTATCAATCACAATTCTTGATCAACTCAATATTGAATGCTTAAATAAAAAAAGATAAAAAAAAAAACAACTCAAGTCAACCTGAGCTAACTTGTTAAACTCGTGACCAAAATCACAAGAATGAAATAACTTCATAAAAGAAAATTTTAAAAAATAAAGCTCTATTTACAATAGATTCAATGTTGAAGGTTGAAATCGAGAAAAAAAATCCATGAAACAGAAATAGCTTCACATAAAGCAAATTAAAAATAATTACGAAACTCAATTCCCAAACAATATTGTATTTAAAGATAAAATTGAAAAACAAAATTTGAGTTGTTGGAGGGTGAAATTTTAAAAAATAAATTAAAAAGGAACAAAAAAACAAACCAAGTTATCTTGGGTTAATCTGCTAAACCTATACACCAGATTATGAAATTATGATAACTCAATGGAAAGAAAATAAAAAAAATTATTCAATAAAAAATGGAGCCAAAAAAAGTGAATAGATAAACATGGGTCAGTTGGTAAAACCTGCAATCCAGGTCATGAAATTAAGATAATTTCATAGAAAGTCAATTGAAAAAATTACAAAATCTAATTTCTCACCAATCTAATATTGAAAAATAAAATAAAAAATTTAATTAGAAAAAAAATCCCAAGTTAACTCAATTTAATTTGTTAAACTTGTGACTTGGAATATAAGATAATGATAAATTCATTGAAAGAAAATTAAAAAGAGATTATGAATCTTACTTTAAGTAGATTTAATGTTAAGGGTTGAATTCAAGAAAAAAAAATTAATTACATGAGACTGGAACATAATCCAACATAAAGGAAATAAAAAAAAAAACTACAAAGCATAATTCTCAAAGCAATCTAATATTAAAAGATGAAATTGAAAAAAAAATAAAGAAAAGAAGATTGAGTTGTTGAAAGGTTAAATTGAAAAGAAAAGAAAAGAAACTGCACCAAAAAAAAACACAAAGTTTCCTTCCTCCTTATCGTCTTAAAAAAAAAAAGACCTGCAACTTTTACTAGCGGAAAGAGAGGGATTCAAACCCTCAGTAAACAAAAGCCTACATAGCAGTTCCAATGCTATGCCCTAAACCACTTGGCCATCTCTCTTACATGATCTTATTATTTTATTATGAACCTCGTGAATGAATAATGAGCCAATATTATTCAAATTAATAATGTTTTGTAGGTGTTGGTGTAATGATTTATCCACACCTTTTATTTTGATAATTATTTGTTTATGTTGTATTAGTATAATAATCAATTCACTAACCTTTTTTAAAATAATTCCTTCTAAGCAAAAATAATTCGGGTTAAAACATATGAACAATGAAGGAGTTTGCCCTTCTCTCTATTTTTTTAAATCTCATTTCTAATTTTTTAATGATTTTTTTTATTTTCATACTTAATATTTTATTAATTTTGAATTGATATTCATAATTTATATCGGGTTTTTATAAGGTTATTATAATTTTAAATAAACATTCTGTCATTTGGTTGATGCATAATTTTACGAGAGCCTGTTTTTGTTATCATATCATTAAATAAATAATAGTTTTAAAAAAAATAAAGTTGTTAGACTTAGTGGAGTCCATAATTTGGATAATAAGTTTACAGGTTAAGACGTGAAGCTGAGTTAGTTGAATATGGCGTCATCTCAAAATTAAAAAAAAAATCTTGATTTTTTTCTTGAAGCTAAATCACTATTTTTACTAGTTGTTCGGGTTGTATTAGGGTTTACCAAGTCAACTTAGTCACATTGAGGCAACTACTATGCAAATTAATCTTAAATTTAGGTTAGAAAAAAAGTCGAATCAAGAGGTTTTAAAGTTTACTTGCTGGGTTTGACCCTTTTTTCTATTTTTTTAATCTCATGTTTCAATTTTTTTTCTTGTGAGCAAGTGTCTATTTTTATTATCGTATCAGTAAGTATCAAATAATTTAAGAAAAAATTGTTAAACCTAGTGAAGTCTATGGTCAGGGTTACGATTTTGGTGGGTTAAATCGCAAAGATTGTGTTGATCTAATATATCGTCATCTCAATATTAAAAAGAAAAATACTTCATCTTGATTTTTTTAAAGCAAAACCATGTTTTTTTTACCAATCATTTGAGTTGCTTTTGAACCCACTAAATCAACTAAATCATATCAAAACAACTTTATATGGTTTAATTTTAAACCCAAACTAAATAAGAAGTCAAGTAAAAAAGTTTCAAAATTAATCCACTAGGTTGGGTTTAATAACAATGTCAAATGATTTCTTGTTACCAAAATATTTTTTATGTTAAATTTTTTATTTGGCTCGCAACATAAGATAGGTCAATAAATCAGTTTAAAATCAAAATGACTTGGCCTTTGCTTTTAAAAGATGGATTTATAATATTGCCCATTCTGATACACTCATATAAATCTAGGTTTTAATAATTGATGAGAACATTGCTTTATGTATATATTGAATGAAAAACTAGAGAACATAAAGAACATTGCTTTATGGATATATTGAATGAAAAACTAGAGAACATAATTAAGTAGGTAAGATTTAAGGATTAAGAACTAATACTATAAAAAATTGTTAAGGGATAAATTGTTAAGCATGTTTAAAAATTTTAATGTTAAAAAAAAAATTACACTAATCCTTTGAATACGCAAGCTGACCTGGAACATGTTATGAATGTATTTATTGTCTAAATAGATAAAGCAAAGTCCAAAAAGAAGTCAGGACACACCAAACATCCTATCTGAAGAAACATTTATAAATTTTGATATGAATATTGAATATTGAAATGTATTTATATTTGAATAAAAGATTTGTATAGACTAATTTCTATTTGGGGTTAAATGAATGAAGTCAAATAGGTCCTCAAATTAGCCATAGAAGATTTTTTGAGGAAAAAAATTGTGTTATTTTTTTTAATTAGTTTTGGTTTGTTAGTTTTTCTTATATATGGGCTAGATCAATTTTTGCTATTATATAAATAGCATGTTTGTTATTTTTTAAGATATTTATTTCTGAATTATTGACTTTTAAAAGTATATTAAAGTTTTTTTTACAATTTAAAGATATAATCTTAAAGCTTAAGAAATTATAGTTCTATCTCGTTTTGTTATACATTATTGAAAGGTTTTACAAGTCTAAAAGAGGGGTTAAATTAGGGTTTTATCCAAAATTCTAATACTTTAAAAAATCAATTCTTAATTACTTCAAAAATAATAAAATACATAAATACGATTCAAGAACAATTTTATCTTTCCAAATTTAGCAACAATAATAATATATAATTAATTAATACACATGTAAATTTAGAGAGAAACATACATATCGATTTGAAAAATCACCTATTCCACTTATTGAGCCTTTATTCAAGTATCCCCTATCGCACATGGTCTTTCTAATGGGTGAGATGAAACATTTTTTATTTTTTTTTCGATTTAATAATTAACCTAATTTTTTTACGGGATCAATATCAAATCCTATTTTTTAATGAATTTAGGATCAAACTTATCACAACCATTTTTTGGACTCAAGATTATACTTAATCTTTTTGTAGGTTAAAAGATCAAACTTATCACCCAATCTTTTTAAAGACACAAGATTAAAAAACCTTACACGCAATCATTTTCAAGACTCAGAATTGCAAACCTCTATTTAGCTCATTATTGAAGGATATACTAAAGTTCATATAGAGTTTTTGGCAAAACTGGTCTAAGAAAACTTGGTTTGAAATATAGCATAAGGTATATATGGTTTCCACCAAAAATACTAAGGCAACCTATACTTATTAAGCATAGTTTTTCCAAATTCAGTTTCCACCAAAAATACTAATACTTATTAAGCATAGTTTTTCCAAATTCTTGAAAAGAGTGGCTTTTCCTTTCAACAACATCATTTTATTATCGAGTTAAAAAAAATCATGCTTAAAATCATTTTCTTCACAAAAAAAATTTGAATACAAGTTTTTCAAATTCTTTATCATGATCA